CCCACTTGGAAGAGCTCTGCAGTTCACAGGAAAATCTTACCATATATTTTCCATTCAACTTCTTTTGTCCTCTGAGTTTCAGTCCTGCTCCTTTCCTATCCTAAGCCATAATACTTGGTGAGTTCACACAGCTCTAACCAAACCTCCCAGCTAAAGAGCAGCAAAGCCCCACTGAAGAGCATTTGGGCTAACAAACTGCAGGGGAGAAAAACATCAAATATAGGTGAAAACACTGTCAGAATAACGTTTGCCATGGGAAGTATCGGAAAATAGATTTTTGTTAGCAGTAGAGCTTGTCTCCCAAGGTGTAGTATCACCAAGCACTCCTAAATTTGGGTACTTTCTGAGACTTTTAGAGCACCTAAGCTTCTGCAAGGCTGATCACAAAAGGCAACTGATACTTTTCACTTTCAACAGAGAAAGTAGGTGATAAACACCCCCTCAGGAAAGCCCTTTCCTGGGGTCAGAGGGGAGGCACTGCAGTGGTCATCAGAAGGGCCATGATCCCCAGAAGTCAACATGACAGACTTCTAGCCATGAACACGCGCGGCTGTGGGAATTTCATGAGTGTCAGGACTTTTCAGCAAAGACAAGTTTGGTCACTCCTGTTTCGGCAAACCTACACGCTATGACCCATACCTACTCTGAGTGGCAACAGAGACAACTGGTTTTGTCACCTCTAATTTCAAAGGCTGTATACTATGCACAATTATCACAAGGCAAATAAAACTTGATCTATTTAGATTTAGATTTGATCTGCTCTTCCATGCAAGCGCACATTGTGGCATTTCATCAATTAGAATCACTGAATCATTTAGGTTGGGAAAGACCTTTAAGATCATTGGGTCCAACCGTAAACTTAACACTGCCAAGTCCACCACTAAACCATGTCTCCAAGTAGAACATCTACACATCTTTTAAATACCTCACATTAAATTGCACATAGTCAAGCTACAAGATAATAATTAGCAGCTCCACTAACATCAATGCATTCAGTACGGTCACTGCTAAGAAAAAAAAAGAAAAAAAAAAAATAAAAGAGTAAATCTATCACTGTGCATATTTCATCTGTACTTTGTGAACTAAGCAGAATCTAGTGGCATCTCAACATCCTTACCAAAACTGTTTGCAAGCTAGGCAAGTTGCACAAAGTTCAACTATTTATGAAGTTTATAGCTATACAGAGCCATCTATTTCTAGCCAAGGAACAGAAGATGAATTTCATAGACCTCAGATTTATCTCCTTTGTCAACATCAACCTAACCCTTGCCGATCAGAGATGAGTTATTTTAGCAGCACTCTTTTAGAACACCTGAGCCAGCAGGTGCTTTAGGCTATACAGAAACTATCGGAGAAAGGCAGCTTTCAAATGCTGGAAAGCCCAGAAGTCCTTAGTAGGTGGTGATGCTCGGTGTATTTCTCCTGAACTATGTAATGAAACTGGGTCAGCTGGACCCACTCATAGCCTAAGAATATTCCCAGGGTCTCAGAAAGTGGGGTGAGGCTGGCTTGGAGCGGACTTCCACGCTGCCATAGCTGGGCAGCTCTCAATACCCCAGCTGCCTGGGTATAACTGCACAAACTGTGGGCTGCCCTGTAAGCACACACTTAAAACTACCACTAGTAGAGGTGCTGTATGCCTGGTTGGCACACACGGGACGACAGCATCACAACAGAAGCACAAGAAGCAGCTCTTAGCAGCCTTTCAGATAACCCTGCATTAGGTCTTACAATAAGCACATCCCTTCCGTTCCCCCAGCAGTACAGCCAAGCAGTGCAATCTACCTAAATCACAGTGAAAAGCTGGAACACAATGAGACAAACTAGCTTGTGACGGTGTGATTTTGGGAAACATGCCTCACTGCAAAGAGACACTCCTAAACAACCTGGGGTTCTGTGTTTAGAGAGGAAGTGTCATCTTCCACAAAGGAAAAAATGAAGCACAGAGAGCCTGTCCAAAGACAGGAACAGGACCCATCTTTCTGCAGTATTATTTTATTGGCTTAACAGGACAAAGGCAGCAACAAAAAGCCCCTATTAACTGTATCAGGAACAAAACTGGATCCTCTTGTGGAGTGCAGTCAGCATTGCAAAGGTAAGGCTTACACAATGCAGCTTCACTATAGTCTCCCTTTTTGAGAGTTAAATAAGGTGTAATTTAGCTATCATATTACACTGTGCAAAATAAGCAAGCCCTCAGCTTCTCTTCTGAGGTACTTTATAGACTGTAATGCTTAGTTGAAGTTTGCTTATTATAAAAAAGCGGTTGCTACAAAAGCATATTTCCATTTAATTCACATTAACATCCTTAAAACCAAAGGTCAAAAATATGAAAACAAAAGTGTAACTGTAGCTAAGTAGGTCTTGGATGAAGCCCAGAGCTGACAAGAACCAAAAGTTTCACACAAGAATTAAAGAAGCTTCAGCTTTTGTATTCTGTTTAATTAAATGTGCTTAAGAGAATCGGTTTATCAAAAAGGGTTTTTAAAAAACAGAATCTAATTTTGAAGAAAACCTGAATCAAACAAAAAAAGTGTTTGCTCAGATTTTAAGTTAATGTATTTTTAAGCTTAAAAAAAAAAAAAAAATCTTTGTTTGCATGTGAATGTGTATTTGTATTGCAGATGTTCCACAACCATCTGCATTTTACAGAAGTACAGTTGCTTTTAAATGTTTTTATCTCAATCACAGCAGATAAAATTAAAATCTAGAATCCCCTCTCTCATTTCAGGTGCAATTATGACTGAAGTCCACATAATGTGTTTTTTTCCTCCTCTTTCATTTAAAGTAAACTCTTTTTTTTTTTCTTTTTTTCCTTCTTCATTTTAGATATAGGTCTTCAAAGTAGAATAACTTGTCATAGACCTTAACATTCTCCTGCACTGAATTAGAATCAGTGATACTGAAATTTATTGCATAAATAAGAACTCTACTTTTGTGTAAGCATCAAGGACAACTGCTGCTCTCTTTCACAGTATCAAGGAAGTGTTCATACTTAAAATCAACAGTATATTATTTTTCCCCCTTTGGATGACAAGTCAGTCACCCCTCTTCCCCCTTCACCTCCCTTTTCCCTCACTAGCAGCTCTTTGAAACTTTTAATACAACGTTTTTCTAATATTTTCACTTGTAAACCTCAAGGTCAGGTTGCAATCTCCAAACAAGCAACAGCTCTGCCCAAGGCCTCCCACACATCTTTCTTCCCACAGTGATTCCCCTGATTACCAAAACTGGATGTTAGGCAATTACCTAGAGGGACTATGTAATCAAAAACGTAGTTAAAAAAAAAAGGGGGGGGAAAAGTTCTGCTTCACTTCTGTGCTGAGAGAGAGAAAATTACAATACCTAAATTTAAGTTTAGAAATAAAAACACATGATAATAACAACTATCTTACTCTTCCTTGTTAAAAAAAAAAATAAAAACATAATCAAGACAGCATGTTTAGCTTAGCATGCAAGAATGATATTGCCCTGCATGGTGCCAAGAATCACTTGAAACAAGTCACTTTTGCATTTTGGCAGAACCACCCTTCAAGGAAAAAAAAAAAAAAAAAGCCCACACCATGCCTACAATCAGCAATTTCCCACAGATGACTTGCTGTGGTAGCTATCCAGATTATCTCTCCATGGATCCAATCCAAAACTCATTACTGGCAACAGGCTTTTGAAACAGCCCTGTATTTTTTTTCACAATGGGAAAGCTCTATATTTAATTGATAGACTGGAAAGAATCTTAAACTCTTTGAAGTCTGAGATTAACAAGAGAAAAGGACGTAACATTTGCCTTTGGCTCGGCAAGTGATATCTGGGGGAAAATAACTCTGTGATCTAGAAGTAATACAATTTATACAGTGCTCAGTATGGTGCAAATACATCAGATGATAACTTTACAATTAAAGGTCTGGAGGTAGCAAAATTACTGGTTGCTCCCTATTGCCAACACAATTCAGTCATCAGACTTTACAAACAAATCTTTCAAAGAGAAGCATGAATGACATTCAAAAAATTAAAAATTTTAATTAAACAATTTTATCTGAATTTGTTTTAGCAGCATAGTTACACTTACATTCAAACAGCATTAACAGAAAAATTTAATATCAAATAAAATACAAAAATATACAAAATCCTGTAATTTCACCATTTTATTGTTCTAAGATTTCATAATCTATTTAGAACAAGCTCTGTTTTAGCTCTTCAGAAAAGTGGCCATATTTGAAGGTATCAGCATTTCCAGTAGCATTTTAGGTCACAGCACAGTAGTGGAGTAAGCCATTACTCAGCTGATCCACATAAAAGCTGTTTTGCTTATTTAGTTTTCAGCAGGGTCAAGCCACTGAATTAGCTTGCAGTTTAAACAAATGTTAACGTCAGCACAAGTAAGAGGGCAAGAAAGTGTGGCCAAGGAAGAATGTATGAGAAAGACTCCAACAGTCCCAACTTACACTGATGAAACCGAGGATGGAATTTCACTATTAAATGCACAAATAAATAATGGTAAATAGAGAGATGTTTTCCCAATTGACACAAATAATGATTCCAAGCCTATGGCAAATCTAAATAAGATTAATATAAAAAACAAAACAAAAAAACCCCACACCCCACAAATTCAGGATGTTACAACCTCCTGAGAGGAGATCTTTCCCAGACAGTCAGTGTTGTCATGCAGTGGAGGATGTAATAGTGTGTTCCATCACCCTCAGAAATATCTCTTTGCCAAGGAAACCATGTGTATTAGGAAACACTACCCTCTATCGTTTGGCTAGTCTGAACAGCTAATGTCTCCTTAAAACAATCATTTTATGAGGCTAACTCTGCTTTTCTTAGAAATTACTACACAAATCATGAGTTAAAACCCCACAAACTTGAAGTGCTGGTGTTTCTTACTGCACAGCCAGACCTCAGCCTTCTTTCACTCTTTGGCTACAGCTCTGTAACAGGCCCTCTGACTCTAGCTTCCCCTCTAATTCCTTTTTCCAAAAGGAAGGCAAGCCAGAGTCTGAAAAATAATTATTGCTTCAAATAACTTGACTTTTTTTTTTTTAGCTTTTTTGTCCATTTTGTAGAAGTACTACTACAAATCCTTACACGATCTTTTACCATTCTCCTATTGTCTTCCCACTCCCATCACTTTCTAAACCCTGATACTTAAACTCTTAGAACAGCCCTTATTTCAAAGATTTACTATTTAAATGCGTTTGCTAAAAAGCTGAAGCAGCAGGATCTGAAGACATAAGAATGCTATTGCAAAAGGACATAGAAGGTGATCTTCGAGAGTTCAACTGTATTATGTAAAATTTCTTAGAGACCGTAAGAAGTGTCCCCTTCCATAAATAAGAAACAAGAAAAAAAGAGAATATTCTTCCTGTCAAAGTCACTGTTTAAGATCTGCAAAACTATAATTCATGAGGATTTAAGATCATGTCAACAAGGCATTAGATTTAAACGGAAATATTTTTTTTCAGCTTATTCTACATTTAAAATGAGAAGCTCTACTTGTCTAACACCAAATAGAATGAAAGAAACACAAGGAGGAAGAGGAAGACTGCCAGGACAAAGTACAAAGAATAATACAGTCTGGGGAACAAGTGTCAGGGAACAGCAAGTGGAAAACATAAAGGAAATACCTTTGTATCTTTAATTCAGTTAATTTAGAGATGGAGTTAATCAGTGTTGACAACTCTGAATTTCTTCAAAAAGAAACTGAAATTTGAAGTCCCCTACAACCTTTTTGAATTCTCACCTCTATTTCTAGGCCTTTTGGATAGGAAACAAGAACGGAGTAAATCAGAAAACAAGAACCAAACATTTAAGGATGATTTTGATTAAATACAGTACTAATGTGTCAACCTGAGGATGTCTGCACTGTAACTTGTATGTAGCACCACTTATAAACAAACAGTGCAACAGGTCTGCTGTAATCACTGCTTAAGGATGAAAGTATTGTAATGTATTACTGCTACTATTTAAATTTCCCTCAAGCCAGCAGTGCAGCTAAAGCATATTGTAAGGCCCTTCTGACCTCGGTCAGAACATGAGACACTGATGGCATGATATAATGCTATTATTTGTTTACTGACACCATAACGCAAAATATGAAATACAGGTTGTCAGAAATACAATCAACACAGAGCTCACAATATTCCATCCTTGTCCTCTGGACGACTTCCAAGGCAGGGAGAGTAAACAGCCTTCTCCCAGCTTTCTTAGTTTCCACAGCTGAGAGTGTAGGATGTTTACAGTACCTGTCACTCAGAGCTCTCGAAAACAGACCAAATGTCAGCAGACCTAGTACAGACTTCATCACTGATTGCCAGAAACATGCAGATGTCAAGTAAAGGCAGAAAAAACACCCCTGCCCATGACTATTTTATACCGCATGAATTCCAATCAATGTTAAGTCCTTTGTGCACAGGCTGGGAGGTGTAAGAAAGAAGTTCAAAATCAAGCTGAGCTTCAGCATCTGCAGAGGACGGCCACCATTACTGCCACCATGGTATTGCAAGGCTTCCTGCCAGTTTGCTCCAAAGTACTTCTGAATGTCTTGAAGTTGTGTCTGCAGAAAAGAGAAGATTCGCCATTTTAATGAGTGCACATAAATACACTAAAAAACAAACAATCAAGCAGAAAAATTGCATTTGCATTCCACAAGTAAATGCTGTCATGCAATTTTTCCAAAGAACTGGAAGCTTTTAACTCAATTTAAAAGCAACATCCTAGAGTGCCGTCTTAGAGGAATGCCTACGATATCTGGCTTACTTTAAATTATCAGAGGAATGATGGTTCTGTGACACCTTTAAATACTGTGAGGAAAAGGACACTTTTAAAGACACAGCTTGGTAAATTTAAGAGTTCAGTTACACAACGACAGATGGCTGTTAACAGCAGTCTAGGTATGCTTGAGATTATATTTTCCTCTCAGAAACAGATTATGTATTTGGTTTCCTGAAATATATTACCTCTAAGGGGAAAGGAAGAACACTAATTAAAAAAATGAAAATCCAATCATAAATAACAAGAAGTTTTTCTCGTGTAGAACAAAAGCCAAAATCATCAGAAGATCAAAATTTCCACTTAAACAGGCTTTAGTATAACATAAAAAACACTTTGGGAAAAGATTATTAATAGTTTCTAGTTTAAAAAACAATGCATGTGCAAAAAAAACATGTGCAAGTGACTGAGGACCCGAACCATCTTACAGAATCACAGCAACCTACTTTAAGAAAAGTTGATTTACTATTGAAAAGGCAGAGCTTTATTAGAGAGCTTAACCCATAGAAGGGTTGCCTCAAGACTGGTACTGTTCTCACCATTATATGAGCACCATTTATAGCACAGTATATTGGCCAGATTTCTGAAGAAACAGCTTTCCTTTGGGCATAAAGTATGTTTCAGTTGGACCAAAGTAACTGTACAACTTTCTCCTCCATGATTACCTGCATCTCATTCCAGCACTTCTGAAAATCAAGCCACATATCTAAAAGCCCAGTTCTTGCAGTCACAGAAATCCCCACTGGGGATCCCTTTGGTCAAGACAAAGAACTACGGCAGCAGGAGAGGGAAAGAGGGGGACTATGTAATTGCACACCCCACTTTACCATTTGTAAAAAGGTCTAGAGATTTGCAGGAGCCTGAAAAATTGAAATAAATCTGAAGGTACAGATCACCTTCACCTTCCAGTCTGCTACAAGATATGAACTGCAAGGGCAAAGGAGGCAAAAATTGGCAAGAATTAAAAGGTTTCCTTGTCAAGCTGTCTGTCCTGAATAAATCAGCTCTCTGGTCAGCTAAACAACCTATGTTAGTTCTGCGCTCAGAAGATACATTTTTCCTAAAAACACTCCACTAGTTTTACATGTTGACTGGGGTTGGATCTCTCTAAAACACAGGGCAGAAGGGGGAAAATCCATGTCCTTTAATCAAGTTGCCAAGCCAGTCAGAGTGCCAAGCAACCCTGTGAGAAATAGAATGGCCTGGTGTTGGCTCAACAATGTAATCCAGCAGTAGAAACAAAAGCATAAAGTGCAGAAAGAAAACCATGGAGCTACACCCTCAGAGCGAGACAAAGGAGAAAGTCTCAGAATAATCCAGGTACGAACACATCTCAGGAAGTCACCTAGTCCCAGCCCTTGCTGGAGGTAGGGCCAGCTAAGAAATCCCACAGGAACAGCTGCTAGAGACCTTATATTTCTCATGCAAGGTTTTCCATATTAAGTACAGTTTGCAGAAGGCACTTCAACCCTTTACAAGAGAGAGCAGAACAATAGTATTGTGGTAGTCTCTGACTGAGTTTGCCACAGTACTTTCAACCTTTGGCAGACAGGCACCCGATACTTCTATTGTTAAGAAATCCTATTTTGATCCTCTAAGGGCTATGATGAAATTTTTTTTTATATTCAAGTGATCAATCATGACATCATCTTGATTTGCATCTTTTATTACTGTTAGTTAGAACATCTACTTACTATTATTTTATTCTCCCTGTACAACTCAAAAATCAGGGCTTAAAATCAGACAGGTGACTTGGAGAATGTTAACTTATGTTAGACCCTCTAATATTAAAACAGCTTTCCCAAGAGCAGTACATGGAAAATAAACGGAAACCAGAAAAATTACACACACACACCACTCCCCCTGCACACCCCCCCAATAATCCAGTACGTCCCTAAAGCAAAAAAAAAAAAACCCTGACTATGTAAATTCAGAGAGCATGGATATTGTATTTGCTAAAAATTAAGTAGGAGGAAAAAAATCAAAATGTCTGCTTTGGCTTTTTTCTATAGCAAGAAAGAATTCTGCTTTCAAAATAAGACTATGAGCTACTGGAGCTGTTGGCTTCATATCTAAGAAAATTCTTGAGAGCCAGTGCAGCAACATGCAACACACTGTCAGCACACAAAGGAAGAAAACTTGTCAAGGCAAATGATGCAGTGACAACAATCCAGAAATTCAGAACAAAAAAAAATCTGAATAAAAACTAAGCAATATATTATTGTCTCATACTATTATGGAATCCCAGGCTCTTTTGAGACTTATTATATATTCTTCAGCTTCAGCATTTAAATGAATGACACAAGCGACTTAGGACTTTAAAAGTCAGTTTTGCATATATATTTCAAATGTGTTTCCCACCAGACAGTCATAACAACTTCAAACAATTTCAGGAAATCTTCTGGTAAGAACTGCATTTATACTCAACACAGTAACTCCTATTCTGAAGGGCCTACGTTCAAAACAAGAGACAGGAGAACATGGCAGCAATGAAATTATTACATTAAGCACAGATCTGTTATATTTCTACTGCTTCTCTATTGACTGCCTTCGATTTCCAAATAATTTCAGGTCGTATTTTATTTTTACCAGTATTTATGAAGTCTGAATGAAGCTTTTAAGGTGAGATACTTGGGAGGGGTAGGAAGTTACATACATCACATTCCTTTGCCAAAATAGATGCCTAACACCTGCTAGGCACAGTTCCTCCTCTATGCCTAGGTTCCCACATAGCAGCAAAAAAAAACCCACCAGCTTTCATTGCAAAGTATGTCCTTCTATAGGTGTCCGAGAAGAAATCAATCTGGCGACTTGCCAGCAAGTCCCACACAAACCTAGGCTAAAATTCTGCAGCTGAGGGAGTTAAGGGAAGGCACTACCTGCATAGACAGCCACAGGGGTGATCATGGTCTCAGCAAAGCTATCACAACAGTAAGGATAAACTGATACAAAAAAGTGTTCTCCCTGAGATGTCCAAGAGGCAAGGTGTTAGTGAAACAGCTATTTAGCTGATCCCAGAATCTGTTCTCCCTCCCACAGCTTCACTACCCTAACAGATAATAGAGTTATGAAAGAAACAGCTGCTAAAGGAATGTAGTGCAACAACAAAAACCAATAGCCCCAAAACCCAACTGAAGCACTGCCCTGCCGTCACCTGGAAGGAAGGGATTCTGAATTGCACAATATGGGCCACACTATAAAGAGACTGCAGTCGTTCATTTGCTTTCATTTCACAACAAAGCATGAAAGAAAGGGACTTAAAAGAAAACCTATTCTCTTCCCTTTTTAGCAAGTTATGTATCTCATTTCTTGTGATGACAAGAAGCTGGGTACCAACATACACAAATTACTCACTGCTCACTTTACAGAATATTCGTTATAGTCAACAACCACTCGATTATACCACCCAACAGCAGATGACTGGAAAATAAAGAAAAATAACCCTCAGTTTGTAAACAGGGAGAAAATGATATGTAGTGTGAAGTACACCACCTTTACAGTCTTATCAGATGAGCTGACATCCTGCTACTTTTCATGTACTTGTGGCCCTCTGGAAAAGCTTGTCTTTCTGCTACCTCTGCATCAGACACAGCATTAAAATGGTGAAAAGTATCACTGAACGTCATGGATATCACGGCATTATCAAAATTGTGAGGCACTACTTCCATGGTAAGCCCTCTTATACTGCCTTTTACAAATGTAAGCAGTTCAAAATGTTCTCCAAAACCTTCCTCAAAATTAATCTATAATGCACAGAGGGAAGGCTAATCTGCCCACAAACAGGCTACCTGACTGATCTGCAGTGACCCACTTGAGGGGCAAAACACTTGTGCTGTATCCCCCCTCCTCAACAGGGAGTTTAAAAAGTAGCAGGCCCAGGGAAGACTTCAAGGTATTTAAAACCCTTCCTTCCTTGCCTGGTGGAATCCTGGGGTAAAAACTGTGTGGTCTTTACATTTGGAGATATATCCCAATTTACCTCTTTCACTGACTTGCCACCCTCAAAAAGCAACTAGCAACATCTAAACAGCCATGTCAGTTTGAAGAAAGAATTGAGGTTTGGACTTGGGAAGGAACAGGCAAAGTGGCAGGCATCCTCAGAGCTTAGCTAGAGTCTGGTGGTTCCCCCTTCATATGTCTCCATCCTTAGGTGGTAGCTGTGAAGACCACAAACAGCTCACTTCTGCTGTTCTACTACAGGAAGCAGCATCTCCCTCAAAATTGCCAAGTTTTTCTTCTCACCTAACTGGTCCTGGAAGGGCACACAGCTTCAGTGAACAACTTCTGGTTGTGGTAACAATGACTTGTTATCGACTTTCTCCAAAAAACCCTGGCATAGTTGTAAGATTACTTCAAACTCATTACAATGAATTCTATGTTTTTTCCTGTCCTGATCATTCTGTGTTACATTTTGGATGTACTTATATATCTGGGTATGTAAGGAAGAACCCCAGGGTCTCTCTCTGATGAGGAAGACCTGAAAATGGAGGTGGATCTCAGGGCCCTGCCGTAGCAACTGTACGTGCCTTTGGCTTCAAAGAAGAAAACTATCCCATTCATTTCCTTCATCAGCCTTGCAGCTCTTTGAAGGGAAGGGGAAAAAAAAAGTTTCCTTTTCCATGTAACTGCTCTGAGACACACAGAGAATAAATTAAAAAAAAAAAAAATTAGTCCTTAGTACATATTTTAACTAGCTGAAAGAAACATTAGATTGAGCAATTTTAAACTTTTTTTCCCCCCCAGGAGTCAAAAGCAACATGGTGGAAAAAGAATGGCCACCACACA